GACTGGGTGAGAGGGGGGAGGTGGGCGGGGAGGTGGAGCATCACCGACAGGCTCCTGGGAAGCTCTGGGCTTCCTCACCACATCTTGGAGCTTCTCCACGCGAACCCGGCGCAGATGCGACAGCATCCTCATGGCAGAAAAGTTCTCCAGAAACGTTTCCAAGGGCACCTCCCCCTCCAGGAACTTCTCAGCCATGGCCTGGAAGACATAAGGTCAGGTGACAACTGAGACCTGCTGGGAACAAGGCCACCAGTGGTCCCCCAGGTCAAAGATCAGTTGCAGCCCTCCTACCTCGACCCTCAGGCATTCCCTACCTCCTCCAGCCCCCATCACTGCTGACACACACACACTCATTTGCTTATGCTCTGTTTCCCTCACAAGAATGTCAGCTCCTGGAGGGCAGGGACTATCTGTCATAGTCACCACTGTCCCCACCCTGGCACTGTGCCAGGCCCCCAGTGGCTACTGCATGTATGTGCTAAGTAAGTGATGAACACTAGCCACCCGGTCGCTGGTGCAGGTTGCCCAGGGGCTGGGAGGACCTGGCAGCTTCCTCCACACAGAACATGGAGAAGTGGAGAGAGCGGCCTGCCCACAGAGCCTGGAGAGATGCTCAGAGGGAAGCAGAACAGAGACCCAGGTGAGAGGAGGGGCTGCGTCAGTCCTCAGGACTCCTGCTGCTCTGCCCTCCATCCATCCACATCTGCCAATTGCCCGTGACCTTGTCATCGGTCACCCATTTCTGCTTCAGCCAGTGAGACTGGGTTCCTGTTCTGTGCATCCAAAGGGGGTTCCACTGGGACAAAAGGTGTCACTTATCTTTGCCACCTACTCATGCGCCCCTGTCCCACCCTCTGCAGATACCCAGTGTTCATTACAAGGGCTCCTGCTTCAGGGGCTGACACTATTCAAGGAACAGAGGGTGTGAATGGCCATCTCACCTCAGACTCCTCCTCAATCTTCATGCCTTCAATCTGCAGCAGGTCTAGCAAGGTCCCCAGCTGCAGCGCTGAAGAAAATTTCTCTGGAATGGAGGGCAGAAAGGTCGATGTCTCACAAGTGCCTTTCGATTCAGTGTTGGAGGCCAAGGTTTCAGCAAAGGCTTCCAGGGTCCTCTGTGTGTGCTGAGGCCAAGCCACCACCCTGGGGCTGCAGCAGTTCCCTTAGGTCACCTTCCTGAGCAGAGAGGAGCTCAATCGAGCCCAGCCCAGCCCTTGGCTAGCCAGTTTCCCATCCCCAACCCTGTTCTGCCTCACAGGGGAGTTACTTCACTTGTCTGAGCACCGAACCTCTTTGCTGTCAAGACCAGGACAGCCCCGCCCACCCTCACAGATGGCAGGTCCTGGGACACAAAAAGCCGGGACCAGCTCTGTAGAGCGCGCAGAAGCTGAGCTGGCCAAGTCGACAGCAGCAGCATGGGGCGAGGGCTCTCTGGATTCAAATCCCAACTCAGCCTCTAGCCAGCTGTAGAACCCTGGCCTCCTTTTTTCATCTATGAAATGAGAGTAACAGTGGGACCTACCCTTCTAGGGCTACAGTGAAAAGAATGCATGCAAAGCACTCAGTACTGGGCTGGGACGCAGGACCCGCAGTAACTGCTGGCCTTCCTGTCCTGGGGGAGGGAGAGGGCATCTACTCTTCCATGCTATTCCAGCAGCTCTCCTAGCCCAACCTCCAGTGGGACCCTGAGTTAACAGAGGAGCCCCCAGAGCATACTTCCGAGTCCGACTGCCCCTACCCAGCTTTGCCTTCTGCTCCTGGCACCGCTCTACGAGCTTCCGGAGCTCCTGGTACTTGTCCGAGAGGTTTGAGCGGCTGATCTCCAGGGGGCCTTGGAACTCCAGGTTCCGCTCTGCCAGGCTGCGGTTGGTAGCCAGTGCCATCTCCCGTTCCAGCTGCAGGTCCTGGACCTAAAAGAACAGGGCACTTGACCAAGAGACTCACCACCACTCACCACGTGGCAGGCTCATCCAGGGCCCCCTGGAACTCATCGCCCACCATGGGGGAACCGCCATACTCAACCCTTCGCTAGAGTCAGGTGGACCTGGTTCAAACCCTGAGCCAGCACTCTGACCAGGCACCTCTCTGAATCCTAACCCAACGGCCTGTGTGGTAGAAACACGAGAGACACTGGTGCTGAATGTTAACAGTTTGCCCAAGGCCGCACGACGGGCCCTCCATAAACTGTGCAGAGCTCCAGGTAGGAGAGAGGACCAATTTATAGGAAAAGTCACAGGCTTTCTAGGAGGGAAGGCACCAAGGGTTCCAACCACTTATCTACAAGATTCAGAGTCAAGAGACCTAGTCTAAAGTTGACTAAGGTGGCCCAGGGTAGGCCACAAGCCAGATATGCAATGTGGCCCCAAAATAACCTACTCTGAGGGTGTGAGAAAGCCAGGGACAGACCATGACACTGATGCAAGAGACCTGTCCCTGCTTCCTAGGCCAAACGTGTATCCTGCAGAGAAGCTGTGCAGATGAGCTAATAGAGGGGTTTTGAAAGTCTAAGTAGCCCGCCCCTCTTCATTCCTCTTGATTTCAGAATGGTTTCCTCGGCCTCAGAGAATTCAAATCGATTAGCCAGGCATGGCCACACGCCACAAAATTCAAGTTGCCACGACCCAAGAAGTGTTCCCTGCTTCTGCTTTCCGTGATTCTGCACTTGGCCACCAATTCTATCAGCCTGCCCAGCTCAGATGTCAACTAATTATAACTGTACAAAGGTTTGCTTCTACAGAGTGTACACTCTAGAGCAGGCCTTGGGATTCCCACAACATGGTTCTTGATTCAAGAGACACTTGTGCTTAATACGTGACCAACGGAGAATGGAAAACAGGGGAGCAAAGACCTGCATTGTGTCCGCATGGTGCCAGCTCAGAGCCAAGCCCTGGCAGAGCTCATGGCCTACTGAGCCACCTTAGTCAGCCCTGGAGTTTAACCAAGACAAGCCTTGCTCCGTGACTTTGCTGAACGAGCTCGGGGTGGCAGTGTGTGCCACATCAAGTCCCCATACCTCCCCTCACACACTGCTTCATACTCATCCCCTCCAGCTGCAGCAAAGATTGCTCATTTGGGTAGCGGGGTGGCGGGGGGCACAGCAAGGCCAGGAGTGAGAACACCCCTAACAGAGGGAAGCGCTCTGGGGAGGCGGATGCAGGGAGGAGCTGGCAGGGCAGCTGCTCTTTTTTGGTGAACATATTGTGAATTCCCAGGGGAGTCACACCACACCTGTGCATGAGCAAAAATAACAACATATTTCAAATACCAATCAAATAAGCTTGGCAGGCTTGGGATGTGGCCCCCTGGCATTAGCGCAGCAGGTAGTAGCTTCTAGAGCAGTGGGCAGGTTGCAGCCACTCCAGGGGCAACTGCACATATCCAGCCCTGTGGCCACGTCCATACCTGGCCTCTCCCACCTGGAAGGGGAGTCACAGGTCACAGGCCAGGGAGGGCAGGCAAGCCCTTTATACAGTAGAAAGCTCTGTACAGACAGGAGGATTCTTTTTATTGCCCGGAGGATTGCGATTAGGGGCTGAGAGGATTAGATGCCAGTTAAGACAAGAAGTGGGTCAGTCAGATGAGCCCATGCTCCAGCCCAAGAGTGGCTCCTCAGGGAGACACAGGGCCACAGGCCCTTGGGGAAATGCAGGGACAAATGGTGCCTGTGCTTCTAGAAACCGCCTCCAGATTCAGGCTGCAACAATAGTGCAGAACTCTGGGGTGTGAGGGTTCAAGTGAAGGGCCGGGGCTCCTAGCACCACCCCCTAGAACTCTCAGGGCCCTGGGAGCTGGGCTGACACCTCAGGGGCGTCGCTGGCTGGGTCCCAACCAGGTGGAAGGCCACAGAAAAGGGAGATGAACTTGACCGAACTCCCAACCAGCCAGCGTTCTTAAGTGCCGCAGTCCCATCTGCTGCCCTTTCTTGGGCCCCACGACAGCCTCCTCCTACCTCAGGGGCCTCCTGGGCCAGCCGGTCGATGGCCTCCGGGTCGTTCTGCATCTCCTCCAGCTCCTCCAGGGTCTTGTCTTTCAGGGTCTCCATCTTTCCCTATGAACACAAAATGATGCTGATGTGAGGAAAAGGATCTCTCAGGAAGAGACCCCTGAACCCAATCATATTATCTGTGGAGACAAACAAGTTTCCTGAGGACCTTCCATTGCACAGGTGGCTCAAGGAGGGACAAGGGCCCCATTTAGTGTGTTCCTGCTGCCCTGCCCAGCCGTCTCCCCAGGGAGACAAAGGAGCCACTCCTTCCACCCAGACCATAAACATGTGAAAGCAGAACATGTGGAAGCACTAGGCAGCCAGAGGGAAAACACAGCTGGAGCTCCCCGAGGAGCCGAAGGACAGGCAGGAGGAGAGTGCCAGGCAGCCAGGGGCAGGGAAGAAATTGGCCCAAGGTGGCCTGCGAGCCCTGATGCCAGCACCCATTCCGGTAGGTGTCTATTTCTGCCCGAACCAGAAATACGCCCAACCTCACACGCAGGGGCCTCATGGCTGCAACATCACAGGCTCCAACAGGGCCACGGGTTATATTTAGGCGCCGACAACCTTGGGTCCCCTCAGTGTTCTCTGCAACTGCCGTCCTCCCCACATGTCACACAGATGGACTGTCACGTTTTCTGCATGTTGTTGAGGGAATGGAGTTTTACAGAGCAAGGGCATGGCCTCCCTGGCTTCACAATGCCTTCATTAGGAAGGAACTGAATTAGCCCTTTTGTGGAAACCTTTTTCCCTCTTCCTTTTAAAAATAAGTTCCAAAGCATAGTTTATTGTTTCTTCCCTCATTCAAATGTTGGCTCTTTTTCACGACAGGCAGTTCACACAAGACAAAGCTATGAAACAGCTGGTTTCCGTGTGGTGTACAACTCTGCTGTATATCAAACTAATTTTTATAAGTTTTTATCCTAAACCTCTAATCATGTCATTAATAATGTGCCTGTTTTATTTAAGACCTAATAGTGATTCTTTTGTTAATAAAAGCTAATGGGAAAGGATCCTTTATTAAGCTGACGACTAGACCTACATTTAAGTTTTCTGCAGTATATGAAGTATTGTACCAGAGTATTAAAAGATATGTAATATTTTATTGATAAACTTATCCTTTAAAAGGGATATGTTTTCAGACGTCATCATTTTGATGTGAATCATGTAAATGGTGATAATATACACTGTTTATTATATGTTTAGTGTTGCCTTTTTGCCCACATATATAGTCTATTTGCAATTGTTTTTTAAAAGTGACACTAAAAGAATAGTTTATGCAAAGGAAAGACAAAATAGGCTGTCACTTTCACGCCCGTCCTCATCACAACAGGGAATCATTCACCAGACTGGCTTCCAAGGCAATTGGGAGGAAAAGGAACTGACTGGCCTGAGCAGAATGTCTCCTTTGAGGGAGAGCTGGCTTCATTAGTCCCTTCCCTGTCATTCTGCCCAGGGGGACACTGACAGATTGTCTGTATGACAAGGGGTCACAGCCAGACCCCAGGGACCAAGAAGAGAAAGCACAAACACACAGAAACACACCCAGTACTCCTTCCTTTCTGCTGACAGGATCCTCTGTGTTTATGTCTTTATCTTTTCTAGATAGGCATTTTATAGCCTTAATGTCAGTTTTAAAACTGTTTTCTGAGGATTCTGACACTATGGGAAATCTGAAGTCCCCACCCCTCCCACCGCACCAGTGAGTCAGCACTGACCACTTGGCTAAGGAGGTGTTTTGGAATCACGGACAAAGGTTATGACCAGAAAGCAACCTTCTCTGGGTTTCAGTTTCCCCATATGTAATAGATAGGAAGAGGCATCTCCTAGAGTCAGGAAAGTTGAAAAGAGAAACTGATCAATACTGACCACATACCCCCATTTGCCAGGAAAGTCTTGCTTTACTCCTTATGTCCCAGGGTAGCTAATTAGTGATGCCCCTTTCTAAGCTCAAAAACATCTCTGTTTAGACAAATCACAGGCAGAACTCTGAGATATTGCAGATTTGGTTCCAGACCACCACAATAAAGCAAGTGTTACAATAAGGTAAGTCCTAATCTTTTTGCTGGTAGAGAGTCTTGCCTTCAATTTGTAAAATGACAATATCTCTGAAATGCAATAAAACAGGTATGCCTGTATATGGTCACTCAAACAGGGTCACACCACGTCCGTTATCTATTGAGGGTTGAATGGAGCCCCCAACCTTGCAAGGAAGGACTGCCAGGCTTTGGTGTGTACCTGACGCCAGGGAGACACTGGCTGAAAATGCTGGTGCCCTGGGTCCACCTGTGGGGCTGTGCCAGTGACCTAGGGTGGGGTCCAGAATCCCATCTCTCCAGGAGATGCAGATGCAGCTGACCTGGGGCCAGATTCTGAGAAAGACGGTAGACAGCTCCTTGATAGTCATGTGACAATGGATGCCACTGGATACTGAGCATCGCAGCCTGAGTTTCACATGTGCTGTCCCTCCTAATCCTGTGAGGTGGGGATCGTCCCATTTGCAGGTGGAAGAGTCAAAATTTAAACCTACACTCTGTCCACACTTCCCCCTGCTGCTCCCAAACCCGTGGTCTAAAAGCTGGGCAGGGGAACAGCAGACTGCGAGGCCCCAGGAAGGAGCCAAGCTCCGGAGGCCCAATGCTATTGTGCTGCACAAGTGACCCACCAGAAGAGGGACAAGCACAGCAATGTTCTGAATATCTGAAGCACATCAGGAGCACGGGCTCTGAGTCCCAGGCCCTGCCACTCACCAGCTGCAGGACCTCACCCAGTGCACCTCCTGAGCCTCAGGTTCTTCATATGTAAAATGGATTAGTGTGAGATTCAATGGGATGACGTAGGCAGAGCCCTGGCTTAGCGTGAGGGCTGACTCAGAACAAATGCTGGTGAAGGACTCCAACAGAACTTATGTATTCCTAAAGCTCCAGGATGGCCCATCTGACAATTTGCTGGCTCTCTGTGGCAGGGTACCCAGCCCTGCTCCACCCAGGGAGGGACCTGCCATGGAACAGGTGTCCTTGAGCTCCTGTAGTCAGGCTGAACATGGAGCTACCTGGGCCGAGAGTAGACGCTCCAGCAGGGGCAGCTGGCCAACCACACACTAACGGCACAGCAAGCAGTGTCACTGGCAAAGGCTCCAAGGGGTCCGGACACGCTCTCACACTGGAGAGGTTTCCACACACCCACCAGGAGAGCCCTGCGCAGAGCCGTAATTCCCTAGGATGGCACCAGCTGTCCCCTCAACCACTCCCCACGGGAAGTATCATGCTCAACGAGTACCACACGTGGCAGCGCAGAACTGGGCAGCAGACTGCACTTTTGGTGCCAGGACACCTTTCACCCCTAACATTACTAAAGATCCCAGAGTTTTCATTGCTGTGGAGTTTAGCTGTCAGTAGGCCTATGTCCTGGCAGCAAGTTTTCAGTTGAGATGTCACTGGCCACAGTGGGATGTGGGCTGTAGCATTTTCTTCTAATTTCACTTCTGCTTTCTCATCTGACATCCCTCTCAAGTCTACCATGTCCATTTCACAGGTGTGAAATTAAGGCAGAATGGCATGGGAGGGGACTCCCACCTGACCTAGGACCCCTGCCCTTGGCCTACTGCTCCTTCCACCAGGCTCCACCCCCAGCTGCCTCCCCTCACACCTCACAAGGCACTGCTGGCATGAGGGGTGCTTAGGATCCCACACCCATAGATGCCAGCATTCTCTTTTTTAGGGGCTCATTTTCCTTACCTATAAAATGGGTAAACAGCTCCTGATGGTCACAGGGCTCCTTTCTTCTGAGACAAATCCCTTTGCAAATTCTCATTAACTTCCATCAGCAATTTTCCACCTCATGGCATACATAAACTCATTACTAAAATTCTGCAGCACACCAAAAATATATATTTTACCGATCTGACAAAAAGATAGGTATAATTTCATTCACATTGGGCAACTACTGTGTTGGCTGTTTTTTATCTGACCATCTAAGGGAAAAGGGGTCAGTGCCCCTGACGAAATAGTAAGGTGGTGCATGTTTTAAAAATCGCTGACTTACATAATCACTCTAATAAGTAAAGCAAAACAAGGCTTAATTACCCCTATTTCAGGGATGAAAAGAGGACCAGAAAGAAAAAGGGAAGGTACTGCCAAAGGTCTGACAAACCATTTGGTATTTAAATTTCACAAGCACCTTTGCCTGCCTGCTCCATCACCCCTCACAGGGGAGTCAGGAGGATGGTCCAAGATGCAAAGATTGCAGGTCTGCAAGCCCCAGGCCCCTGGCCCTGCCACCTCCTCCACCCTGCCCTCTGATACCTCAAACCCCAGCAAGCAAATGCCTGTCTTGTTAGCAACAGCAGCCCCTGGAAGCTACTAGGACTTTCTTCAGCAGTCAGAGCCACTACTGAGGCCAAGAGCAGCAAGCACTTCTCTGGGTACTTAATTTGGAAAAAGAGAAAGGAACAGGTCAGTATTTTGCCTGAGGCCCACAAAGCAGGGGCACCTGAGGCATGGGAACCTGCTGCTGGCAGTGTTCTGCCTCCCAGTCACCCAACTTGGCAACAAAATCCAAACCAGCACAACTCAAAGTGACCACAACCACCAGGGGTGTCACAATGCAGAGAACTAGAGGGGGGGGACCAAGCTCAATGACCTTGCCCCTCGGTACCCAGGCATGACCAGGATCCCCCTCCACTTACCAAGCTGCCCAGAAGGATGCTGGGTACTTGGGGGGCAGTGCCTGGAGTCTGCTATTTGGAAGGAGGGGACAGGAGATGAGAAGAGACAAAGGAAAATGGCTTGCTCACCTTGGTGCTCCCAGTGGCACACAGAGCTCCTAACGATGCTACAGCAGATTGGACAGGCAGGAGGGAGAGAACCAGACAGCTGTGGACAGACACCCAAGACAAGAGGACGTGGGAACGGGCTTCTTCCACCTCTCACGCTTCACCCCTTTCTTCCTGCTTCTACTGACCAAACACTTAATGTTTACTCATTACTACATGCCAAGCGCTGAACAAGAACCCAAAGAAGGGGGAGGTAAATGGGGCAGAGAGCTGTAAATAAATACT